CCAAAACAGATATTTCCAATGCTGGCAAAGAAATTTGCAAGAAACGGTAACGTACTAAATGCTAAAAAGTTATACCGGGATCATGTTTTAAATGAAGAAAATAAGGCAAAGATATTAGGATTCTATGAAGCACATCCAGTTTCCTTTATTACTACTGTATATTAAGAGACAGGTATTTCTCAGGGATCAATCCACTCAGTTTTGAAAGAATATAAATATAATGCTTTTAAAAAGTGCAGAAAAATGTCAAAGGAAGATGCAGTTTTGTTTGGATTTTTGAAATAAACGTAATGAAAATAATAATTTTTTGACAAACATTTTATGGACTGATGAAAGTTCGTTCACTACAAGAAAGGGTTGAAATAGACAAAATACGCGATATTGGTCCTTAAATAATCCTAGACATATACCAAAGAAAAACCCAGGAGTACCAATCAATTAATGTATGGTGTGGTGTCATAGCTATATTTATAGATCAAAAGTTAACTGGAGATTGCAACTCTTAGAGTTCCAAATAGAACAATATATAAAAGATTTCCCGCCCCTAAACATATCAGCGCTGATTATATGGCACCAAAACGGTGCCCTCTCCTCACAATGTAGTGCAAATTAAAAATTTTCTTAAAATGGAATATCCCAGGGATTGGGAACGGCGCAACTGGGTTTGCCAGAAAACAGCCCCGATTTAATTTTAATGGATTTTTTCTTTTGGGGACACATAAAAAATTATGCACAGAACTCCGTGTAAAAATGTCGTGGAATTTCGTCAATCCGGAGACGTTACTAAATGCAAGAAATTATACAATTAGAGTGTATGAGAAATGTGTTCAGGAAAATGGTGGTCACATACAGCAGTATTTAGAATAGTTAAATAATTTGTTACTTTAGTGTGTCTTGTCATTTTTAGTGTTTTTGTTCTGCTTTAATTTGTAAATAATTATTGTTGGTGCAGTCAGTCAGGCACTTTTCGAAACATTTTATCTGGGCTAGAATATTCCGTGCCGTATAGTGCCTTTATGACGAAGCATATAAAAAACCGCTCCAAGTTAGTTAGATCATTATAAAGCGCTAATGATAATTGATGTCATTTTACAAAGTCAAACAATGTATAAAAATAACAGATAATTTTCCAAAACCCCGCATATTATGCATTTAACCAAACACGGAAGTTTATTGTGCGTAGTTTAAATTTAAAATTTATGTTTTTATATTGAAATGCGATTTTTTATCCTGTCATTACTGCAATACAGCTACATAAAAATAAATTAAACACGACTGTTTCGCTTTTTTGTTGTGTTTTTTCGTTGTAAATGCCTTGACAGCAATAAAGTTTGATTATAAAAAATGTTTTGGGCGGTAAAGGTGAGTACTGACCCTATGGAGGAAAGGCGTATACATAAATAATTTTTAGTCATATTAGTTATGGTTTTAGACTCGGTATGGACAACTATGAACATAAAAAAATTCATGACGATCGATATGTATTTTTAATTAATTTTCTCAATTATACTTTAATGTAAACTCATAAGTTATTGATCGATTTCTTCAGTCGTTCACGTTGGTGTAATTCTGGACAATTCGTTGTATGTTGCGCACTTTAATTAATCTTTAGAACTATTCTCGGGAAGTTGGAATGTGATCTGCATCTGAAAAAATACATTCTCGAGGTAGTTCTAGAGTTAGTAAGAAATTCAGAATTCCTAACTTAACCCAAGTAATATGAATTATTTTTGTGTAAATTTTAACGAGTAAAGCGAAAGATTTGAATCACTGAGTCGCGCCTGGTGATAACGAAGCGAGACGAAAACGGAACCAGATTGACTTTATACTAGTCAACAGACATCTTCGAAACGCAATACAAAGTGCATAAACTTACCCAAGTGCAGATGGAAACACCGATCATGGTCTGTTGCTAGCAAAAACTCCGGCTGAAAAGGCAGCAAAAAGTACAACAAACGATATGGATTTATGTTGAAAAAACGCAAGGAGACCAAACTACACACAGATTTAAGGAAGACTTACAGAACAGATTAACAGAAACGAACAACTGGGAAGATATTATTACCATCAGGAGAAGAAGTGCTCAGGGAACTTTCATTAAAACGAAGAAAAAATTGGATGACTGATGAAATCTTTGTACTCGTTGAAGAAAGAATAAAATATTAAAACAGAGATAATAGAAGAAAAAGGCCAAATAGGACTGGATGAAGAAACAATACAAAGAAATTGAAAAATCACAGAAGAAACATGATACATTCGGTTTACACATGAAAATAATAGAAATAACTGGTAACAACAAAAAAAAAATACCCCGTAGAACGAAAGATAATTAAAAAAAAAACTTCTTTTGGTAGAGAAAAGCATTTGATAGAGTCCAGCATACGAAACTTATAGATAAACTAAAGAACGTTCAACTTGATGACAATGATATAGCACTCTTCAAAAAACTAAACTGCAACCAAACAGCTACTGTGAAAACAAACGAAATGGAAACAAAAGGAGTGCCTATCCGGTGAGGTGTTAGGCAGGGGTGGGTACTTCCACCTGCACTCTATAATTTATATTCACAGAAAATATTTTATTGGGCCCTTTGGGAAAGAGAAGAAGGTGTTAATATAGGGGATGAGATAGTTAATTATATATGCGCTTCGCGGACTATACAGCAATCATGAGTGAATCCCTGGAACACCTACAATTACTGGTGAACAAGGTCAATAGCAAAAAACTAAATTCTTGATTGTCTCGAAAAACCCCGTTAGTGTAGCTCAGCTGATGATACAAGGAAAACCTGTAAAGCGCGTGACCAAGATCACGAAATAAGAATTAGAATTGAAATTGCGAGGCACTTTTTCTTAAGATTTAAAACACAATTCAGCGACAAAACAGTCTTAAACTAAGATTAAAGTTTATTGAGTACTACGAGTGGTCACAACTACTGTATGGAGTAGAAACTTGGACTCTCAAGGCTCAGAACAACTGGAGTTTTTTGAAACGTGGTTGTATCGTAGAACCTTAAAAATACCCTGGACTGCTAGAATTACTAATGAGGAAGTGTTAAGAAGAATAGGACAAGAAAGGAAATTAATGGTCTTGGTCATATTCTAACAAGGCATAGGAAGAAAGAAGAAATCCTGACTAAGAAACATCAGAGACTAGATTCACATGAGTGTAGGAGAGCTGTTCCACTTTGCAAGAGACGAAGACGCATTTATAAAAGTGGTCGCCCACCTCCGTTAGGGGATGGCACTGGAGAAGAAGAAGAATCAATGAACGTCATTTTTTAGACACTAAAAAAACCAGACGAAAGTAGATAGAGAGTGAGAGAATATGAAATACTAAAAGAAGAGAAAGTAAGCAATAGACAATATTTTCCTAAGATATCTAAACTAAACCTGACAAATGACAATCAAATGTAAACAATCGCCAGCAGTCCCTTCCTCCTTAACGAACGATTTTGAGCATGTGCTAAACTAGTTTGTAAGAGGTAAAGTAAAATAATGCGAGTGGTCTCAGAATCGTAGTGGAGAGTGTGCCATGGTTGAGATAGTTAGCTTAAAAGTTTCAGTGGCGCTGTTTCACTTTGACTAGCTCTCAGTGCGATTCGTCCGTCTTTGCGTTGTGAAGCAAAAATTCTGAATTTAGTTCGTTTTCGTAGAGTATCAAGTATCATTATGGACACAGAAGGCATCAATATTGTTTTAATGACTACCAAGTTTATTTGAACCGAACTATAAATTACCAACCCGCTTTTTTTATTCTTCCTTATTATTCTTAGGCAGGTTTAAATATTTAGGTTGACGTTGAACTCGTTCCATCGTAGAATCTATTGAAATTATCCCACCGCTCATTAATCCATCAACAAGGTATCGAGAATAAAATTGTACAATTGAGCAATTTGGAGGTCGATTTTTTAGCCATTGTTAGTGAACGCATCACATCACTCACACTTTGGTCAGGTTGCTGCATTTTTTGACAATTCGCTATAAGTTGCGCGATGTACCGTTCGTAAGTTATTGAAACCAGACTGTTATTTTTTTAGGCTGCTCTGCAGTGATAACTTGTATCGTCAATAAATAAATTTTAGTTAAGACTGTATATTAGATAATATAGGATCCGTAAATATCGTAAAATTGCTGGGCCTTAGGCTGCTATGACATCTGTGCGCAAGAATCTAAATTTCAAAACCTCCACATTGCGCCATTTCCTATCTAAACTGCAATTTCCACACACACACACACACGATTTTTTTCATGACATTTTAATCGAATTTATGTGGATTTTTACAAAACTCTACCGAAAAAACATTCGACATTTTTATACTGAAAACTGTCGAATCGATTAACTGTTGATTGATCCCGGTGATATTGTTGGTTTTACTTTACTACAACGGGAGAAATGTGGCTTTGTCTCCCGAACGCTAGTAATAGTAATATCCATAGATCGACGAACTTCTCAAATTGCTCTGCTAAAAATAGCTCCACCGTCATGACGCTGAAGCTCGACTTGCATATATGTAAACTTCGCCTTGCATATAATAAACTCTTGTGGAAACGAGACAAAACCGTCACTGAGAGATGCATTTCAAGCGTCCATTCGCAGGATGCAACCCGCAGCGATCTAAATGAAGATCTTTTAAACCCAAGCTCTGAATGGGAACATAGGCACAAAAGCAAAGCTTCGTAACGTAATTGGAGGGACACGAATGCATATTTGCTTAGATAAAGTGCGTTGCTAGTGTGAAAATATACTATACGAATCCATTGAATATATACGTAATTTTGAGATATGCTTATCAAATTTGATGCATATGTAAAAACATTTTTTAACAAAAGAAAAACCTAAAACTAACATGAAAGGTGACAATTTCCAAATATGTCTAAAAAGAAAGTTGACGGAGACCAATTTTCCTTTTTTTTTTCGAATTAGTATCCTATTAAAGCACTATTATTACTGTTTTTCATCGATGGCAATATGTCTTAATTAATTTTTCTTTATTTTAGGTCCGGTAGCCGAGAAGCTTCGCCAGTGATCATCAAGAGGTAATTGATTCCGTCTGCTTTGGTTTCTGATATTTAAGAGAGAACTTCGAACACGAAATAAAACGAATTGACCATCCTCGCAATACTATATAGAGTTACTTAAACTCGGAAGTAGAGGTCTCAAACATGATTATTTATAAAAAAGAGACACGTGTTTTGGCCACACCGCCGTTATCAGACATTCAAAGCTGTCAACTCAAACGTACACACACATATTTGTGAATTGATAAAATTGCCACCAATGTTGTCTTGCTTTAAAGTTTACTTCGTATTTAATAGTTCTTAAACTTAAACTACTTCTAGCGCCATTTTTAGCAAATTATGCAATTTGTCGGACTGTCTCTAAGCATGTCTCTGAAATTCAGCTTTTAAGCAATTTTCCTAGTCTAACATAACTGTGTGACAATTTTAAGAGATAGATATAGGCATATAGGCTTAAAAAAACAGTTCTTTGAGGACAAAATCTATTCTACCAAAGTAATGAGACCGTTTAAGCTACTTGAAGAGCCGTAGCTGTAGCTGTAGGCTTAATGACTTAATGATCTTTCATATTGTGGCATTTTGCTTAAGGATGGTGATATTTTCTTGACAAATTCTTGAAAAGTGCATATTTTATATAATAATAAACGTTAATTTTTGTTCAAAAATTAAATTTACATTTCATCTCAATAAGAATATGGTTATACCACGCCCATCACACACCAAACAGGCCACGTAACACTTTCCTTCTTCGTTTTTTTGAGTTTAAACAAGCAGTTCACGGGCTACAGTTCCTGCAATTGTTAGACAAAATTCTCTATCGACTGTCTGGGTTTCAGTGTTTTCTTCTTAAGAAAAAACAATTTTTTTTTCAAGCATAAAAAAGAACGTCTAGCAGCGTCCAAATGCCTGTTCTAGAGGTCTGTACAATTTATAAATGAAATGGCAAAGCAAATGAAAGTATCGCCTTGCAATGCTGGCGAACAATTCAGCCGTTTCCATCATTAAGACCGCTTCAGTTTTCGCGTTTCAGTTGTTTTACCCCGACGTGGTTTAATGAGAAAAACATTTCGGACCGTTTCGTCTGTTTTTTGTTCTTTTCGGGCTAAAATAGAAAAATTAAAACCGCGAAATTAATTAAAGGTCTCCCGTATGCAAATGTGGCCCACGTATGTTTGCCGGCTTTTACAGGATCACATTTTGCAACGCTTGTCTTTTGTTTGCCGTTGGAAGGGCGATTTCAGCTGAGTATTTGGACGTGACATTTTCAAACGGGTAATACAAATAAATTTTATAAAAGGGAATACATGTTTAAACAGGCTTACAATAAAAGGTTACAATAAAAAGATTATATACTGAAATAGTCCATCACATCGAAGAGAACTACATGAGCTTCACATAACCACTAGATCAGTGGACAATTTTTTTCCCATTTTGTAGAGTAACAGATCGGGAAGTGGATCAGGGATCCGGGTTCGCCAAAACAAGGGAGAAGACGGTTTTGACAACAGCATTTATTTTTTCACTTGGACTTTACACTCGTACAAATTTACCGAATACGATCGACATTCAAATGTCGGAAACTCCTCGACGCACTCCTCACTCGTCGAGAGCCGCCCGCCTTCCTTCACGGCGTTCTCATTCCCTCGCCCATTACCCCGCACTGCCACTACACTTTTTTTTCTTGAAACCACTACAATCGTTACTCTTTATTGGTACATTTTACAGTATAGCAATGACTAAGGTCATCTGATAATGATTGTTTGTATTTGTTTATGTGCTTATACAATGTCCTATGTCTGCAGCAATATCGACCATTTCTGCATATAGACATAAACATCAGACCAATAAGAGTGAATTCAGAAAAGTAATTATATACAAATTCTATCAACCGAAAAATGATTTTGCTTTAATGCTGGTTTGAGATTATGAAAAAGCTGAATGTGGAGGGATTTTTCCTCGTATATTTAATTAATTATTTTCATTTTACCACTGTCGGGTGTATGTATCTTGAGAGTAAATTTTTCAACAACCCAAATAATTACAAATGTTTCCAACACCGGCCACGGACAAGTAAAACTCATATTAAACTTCACATATACAGGGCGTCCTAAAACAGCTCAATTATACAAATATGACAAATACCTAAATATATGGAGGATTGTGCGTAATGACAATCCTCTAAATAAATCGTACTTCAGTAACCTGTAATCGGTAGGCCAGTTCCTGTTACTCGTTCCAAGATATAAAATTTTGAATACCCCAAGCTAGCGTGTTGTTGTTCGCGCCAGGGGCCTTTGAAGTAACGAGTTATAACTACTAACACCATTTTGGTAAAAATTTACAGAGAAAAACTGGTTCCATTGCATTTCAAGCCTAGCAGGGGACAAATGGTCTGGGAATACACATAAGTGAAACCTTCCTTTTATGGTCGCTTATGGGTAAAATTTCAAGGAAAAGAAAAAAAACTAATCAAAACTGCTTTGTGTCAATATTATGTCTGAGAGTTCTGCTACACTAAACTTTAGGTAATGTTTGCTTTTTTTTTGGATGCAAACGAATGTATCAGTCAATATTATCGTCGTCCATTTGCATTGAAATTCCTCATTGCAAAAATGAATGCTTTAAGGTTTAATGTAATAAGGTCTTTTTTGTTGTTTCACTAACCGGTCACCTTTAAATGGTTTTTAGAAAATGGATTGACAGAAAAATAAAAAACTCCGAAACACACCAAAATGAACGGACCAACCTCTACATTCATAATTAACAATTTTTCTGCCGTATATACGTACATAACATATATCTCTTATGTCATAAACTCTTATCATATTTTCCGCGGCGGATACGCAAAACTTTTCGCATTTAGTGCAATAAAATAAAAATTTCCTAATGTGCATTTCCATGTTTCGAAAGTTACGCGTAACGTCGGTCTCGCTGGTGTTGGGACGCTGATATGGTTGCGTTAAATTGGTTTTGTTTTCAAACTAAAGTTTTCCTCGTTTTAACGCGAGAAATAATGATAAAGAGGGGTCGCGATGGCTGAATCGCAAGCACCGAAAAGTTTTTGGGTTCCAGACTGCTGCTGCGGCCTTATTAACTCCGAAATCGTAAATCCAATCCAATGCCTTTAACGTTTGATCAAAAATTATAGAATGGAGATGTAAAGTAGACTGGTGCATAGGATGTATAAGTCAGTCATCGATTTTACTTAATTTGGTTCAATCATCACCATATACATAATGTTGGATATGCTTCTAGGTTAGTATTAAATTTTTAAATACAACAAATTTGTGTACAAATTCAAATAATAACATAAAATTGAATCAGTCGATCTGAAGTCGAGTCGATATAATATAACCTAAAGATGTCAGAAGCTGTATTAGTTGATTCGGTAATCCCAAAGCAGTCAAAAGCATTTCAAAATTACAACAACAATAGTTTAGTCTTAATTTAATAGAAGCTGAGATAGTATTTTTGGCTAGTTTAAATCTTCCCAACAACAATGGAATAGGAGGAAAGATAAACAACAAAACAAAATTGAATAAGTCAAAATCAACCGAGAAATGGTGGACGTACATTGATTATAAACTGATAATAATGCTAAGACGAAACATCAAAACATATGGCAACAAACAAGCTTGGAGCCTTTGGCATTTGTTATTCTAGTGAATGGTTATTAGATACTTAAATGTTGTTTATTTGAATTGAATCATCTCAGTTATTTAGACAAGTATTGTCTCACTTTAACATGTTAATAATGTAATCGTTATGTTTCGCGGTGTCGACTGTAGAAATACATATTGTTGCATTGGGAAAAATTACAGCTTAATAATTTTCGTATCGATACTCGTTACGTCATCTATGTTCTTAATTTATCTGGGAACAAATTTAAAACCAACACGAAACTCAACAAGATAGAAGCAGATACCACGTTGGTGTATTGTGTACTTCTTTCTTGTCAATAAAAGTTTGCAACAAAATATGTTAACCGCAGCAAAATGTTAATAAATCGAAATTTTGCACAATACAAAAGCTAAAAGGAACATCTTCCGGCCATATGTAGGCCAAGGAAGATGTTGGGGAAGAGTGGGACTGTGTTAGTTAGAGAACCTCGAGACCCACTTTCTCGGCTCGCTGCTGAGCAATAGTCCGTCGTTACTCACGAACAACTGAGATGGGAAATCAATACGTTTGAAACATTTAATTCAACGGACCAAACGGTCTATTAACGGCCCTCTTTCAGGTCGCTTCTGGTGGAACTACACACACTTTGTATTGTGTATTGTGATCAAGTATCTACGACGACGAAACTCATGCAAAGTGTTCTGATGAATAAACAGATTGTCGACAAATCCGACAAAAATGGAGCTACTTCTGGAGGTGACTCTGGACTCCAGGCTCACCTGGACGGTTCAACCAAAATAAACCGGAACGCGTAAGCATCCCTGTGGATGGATGGGTCGTCGCCTCTGAGGACGCAACTGGGGATTGAAGCCACAAATCACGTTCTGGAATTACACGAGTGTGGTACGATCACTCATTACCTGCGCTGATGGTGTTGGGCTGCATAAAAGTGACCGGCTCTTCGAAAACGACGATGATTAAGGCTACTAGGAGCACAATTCAAGAAATAGGTACTGTACCTTTTCAGGAGCACAGGGTTCTTCTAGAGGAGGAAGCGAAGACGTGCGAGCACAATGGATCGAAAGGTGTAACTGCAGCACCCTGACCATAAGGGACAGGGACGCAGGAGAGATAGATTTGGAATAGGAATAGAAAGCTAAAACAGAAATAATATTAGTTTTGCCTAAAGACTATTGAAATTGTTACTCTTTGGATAATATTGGATTGGATAGTGTTTAAAGCTGATCAAATCGTTTCTTGCCAAACTGATTACCGGGTATTTTCAGTGCGTTTGATTTCATTTTTTTATTGTTACTTTTTTTCCATTGCGTTTATTAACGTTTACTTATTATTATTATTATCATTATTATTGAAAAGGATTAAAAATTAGTTCTAAC